AGTGAAAACAGCTGTGGCCGCCTTCTAATTAGCACAGCCAATAGCCTATAGCAGGGCAAATCCTCCAATCGAAACTACAGTTCGCACTTAAGCGCAGGAAGGGAGCAATGCCAATAACACAGGCTCCTTCTAAGCCAAGGGCAATTATTAGATTTACCAGTAAGTGCAATCAAAAATAAAAACTCCAACGAAAATACAAGGTATAAATAGGTAGAACACGAAATATTCCTTCCTAGCAGCAAGTAATAATTTAAACAACAGATCTATAACAAGTATTATGCAAAACACTCACGCGTTGCCATCCTTCTCTTCTGTTGACTAATCGCTTGTCCCATTAACAATAACTGATAGAGCTCGTGGTTTATCTGTTGTCGTGCAGCACTCAAAATTGTGGACAAGCCAGGTCCACCGTAACATTTTTAACTGGTTCTAATGACTTCTAATCACTTTTAGCGAGCATGAGGGAGGCGAATGGTAATAAAAATATAAAAATAAAAATAATCTTTTATCTCACAACTCTCGTAATTACGGCTTGAGGCATGAGGGAGGTGAATGGTGCTTCTCAAAAGGAAGGCTGCATTCTAAAATTCAGATGATCTCAGTACGGACTCGTTTTCCTTCAGTTTATTTTCGTGAATTTAAATGTGTGCAGCCTTCGTAGGATGCAGCCTTCCATTTGAGAGGCACCCATAGATAAGCTTTGTTGAACTGAAAAAGGCTCTGAATGAGGAGTCGATTCCTCGGAATTGATTCTTTTTGGAATCGATTCCCAGCCCTAAGCAAAACAAAGGGGAAACTGGAGGTGGCCAGCACAGATTCGGCTACATAAGCAGCTTAAAATATCATCTTGTTGTGATGTTGGGTGCCAGAATCGACGTAATACAGCCTCAAATTAGAAATTTGATCGCATATCTGCTGCCACTGCCAGACAAAAAAACGACAAAAGCTGTGGTTAAACGCCATAAAACGAGCAGACTGGACAGAAACGATCGTCAAAAATGCTCGCGTTCTGTAAAAATAGTTGCCTGCTGAAATTGAAATGTATATACATCTTCATGATGACTAGATAGACACAGTGAGTTTGTCTTTACTATACACGTTAGATGTGATCCACCTCATAGTAACAATCATGTCAGATCGTCCATCCTTTGAGTGAGAGTGTAATGTTACAGGTTTCGTGGTTAAAGTTAACCTTTTTGACATGTTTCCGGGTTGTTGTTGCTCAACAATGGCATGGATGCGATGTTTTTTTATTTTTTTTATTGAGATAACAAATGGGGAATACAAAGACATTTGAATTTGTAAAACAATAAAACCAAATTCTGCATCTTATATCACATATCAATCATGTTTCTAATACATCAATCTACCAGCAGGGGAAAACTGTCAAACCTTGACCTCTGCTGCTAACTGTGATTGACACAGACATATGGGCAACCAGGGAGAGCCATAGACCCTGTTTAAATGTATTATAGTGCAACACTGCCACCTGGAGACTGTACACACACACCAGTATTAAATGGGTGTGAAATACAGTGACACGTCCACCACAGCCACCTCTACAAATGTTGCACATTATAAGTCTCCTTATAGCAATACTGAACAGCCTTTAATTCTACACGATTTGTGCAAAGCTTTTGATTTTTGACACTGAAGCAATTAAAAAATAATAATAATAATTTTATTGAGATAACAATAGGGGAATACAAAGACATTTAAATCTGTAAAACAATAAAACCAAAATTCTGCATCTTACATCACATATCAATCATGTTTCTAATACATCAAGTATCCTTTTCAGCAGCTTAGATGTCTTTACAGCTTTTTGATTGTTCTGTATTGAAGTCAGAGAGTCGTAAAAAACAATATTAACTAGTGACACGGACCGTGTCCATAGTGTCATTGTGTCGCCTGCCAATGACGTCATAATCCCTCGATTTGCTGTTTTGTTTTGTAGAAAACATGGAAACACCAAAGCCGCCTTAATATGTTGTGCGTTTTATTAGACCGGTGACGACCGCACAGAGTAGCATTATAACAGAACTTTCAAATGTATCTAGTATGATAAAACAGCGCTGCTTTACTCCACATACTCACGACCGGAAGGAGTGGAAGCAGTCGACTGTGGCATAATAAAAGCTCCGCTGATTTTGAGCCGTGTGTCGCACTCGTTCAGCGGCCTCGTTTCGCTTCGACGGCTTTCAGCCTCACCCTGCTTCATTCTACTACGTTAAATATATTTGTAATTACACATTTGTAATGATGTAGCAGGTCTGAATGAGATTGTCTGAACCTCACATATGTCATAGACAACAAGTGATTCATATCACAGGAAATACAAGTTCTGACATTTTGATTAAAGATCGAGGCCAAAGAAAGATGTTCACAGTAAGACAA